CCTCCTTCCTTCCATCAACTAACACTTCCTTGCCCTCCCTGTGGAATGCACCAAGCCCTTTCTCATGCCCTTTGCATCTAAGCCTCCAGAAATCCCTGTAAGACAGGTGCAATTACTTCTCTCTTTTTAACGGATGAAGAAATTAAGACTCAGAGAGGTTCAGATTCTTCAAGGCCACACAGCTAGCAAGTGGAGGCACTGGGGTCTTTCCAGATCATTATCATTGCTCTTATTATTGTTAATTGACCTCCTTGGAGGTCAGAGCTTGGAGAGAGCTGTGTCTGGGGCAAAAGGCTAAGTGATGTGGCAGGAGAGGATGCTGGGGTTTAAGGAAAGAGAAAAGAGAGGCTGTGACCAGTTGCTTCTAAGGCCCATCTCACCCAGAAAAGGAGAAGGCGCCCAAGGGGCTACAGCAGACCCACTGCTCTTGACTCTCTCCCTGCAGGCTCCACAGAAGGGGCTGGTGCTGACCGAGCTGGGAACACAAGCACAAGGCAAGCAGCACCCCATTTGCTGGCCTGGCCCCAGGGCATCTCCACCCCTTCCTTCCCCTTCATCCCAGGGGCCTGCCTGAGAACGGAGAAGGAGGAGCCATAGACAGAGTGGGTGTCCAAGCCAGGTTCTGGCTGCAGGAGGCCTGCGCCGGGTCTTGGTGCCACATCCTGGGAAAAGCAAGCAGGAGTGGGGCTGGGGGCTGAGGTGGACCCAAGCCCTCCAAGGAGACAACTTAGCTGCCAGCCACCAACTGCTGGGCTCTTCCCCTCCTTGCCTGCCCCTCAGCCTGCACCTTCCATGCTCCCCGGCCCCCCAGACCTCTCTGTGCCATGCAGATGGCGCCCTCCGTGAATAAATGTTCTCGGTGCTCTTTGTAGACTGGGTGTGAATACTCCAACATGGGCCAGTGTGAGGGAGAAAAGGACCAGGAGACCTGGCCTCCTGCCCCAGTCCTGACCTCCCACTCCAAGCGGCCACCCACACTGCAAGGAAAATCATCCCAGGCTGAGGGGGAAGAATTTGGGGTGCTGGAGCCTGCCCCAGCTGGGGTCCCCCTGGCAGGGCTCAGCTTTTGAGCTGGGTGGGCTCGTTCCCCAAAGCCCCTCCTTACTTCACATCAACCATCCCAGAAACTCACCATTGTGACAGTGCCTGCCGTGCCCCCACATGACCCTGCTCCTTGTCAAGGGCACTGAGGCAGGGTGGGGGAGTAGGGAGGGAGGGCTTTTTGGGGCCAACCCCCCTCCCCCAACCCTTCCCTCTTCCCTCCCTGCCAAGCCAATCCTGCTCTCCCTCCACAGTGGGGGAGGTTTCAGCAGTTTAGATCTCCTATCACTTATTAAGGCCCACCAGCACCCTGGGCAGAGTAACACACAGTTCCTGCCCTCAGGGGGCTCACAGTTTAGTTGGGGAACTGACCTGACACCCCATATCACCCTGAACTCTGACAGGCATTCAGTGCCCAGGTGGCTTCCCAGGGCGGGTCACCTGGGCAAGATTTCGCAGGCTGAATAGGAGTTTACCAGAAGGATGGCAAAGGGACAGCATGGGCAGAGGCCAAGGGATGGGAATCAACATGACAAGGGCTGGTATGTCTAAAAGAGAGGTGAGGAAAAAGTGTGCCAGCTGGAGAAGCAGCAGCAGAATCCAGATCCTTTGTGGAGCAAGGACTCCAGGGAGGAAGGGGTGAGGGGAGAGAGGAGAAAGTCTCTCCTGCCTCCAAATCCGCCCTCCCTGCCCCCCTCACCATTCACACATACGTACACACTCAGGCCTTCATTCCCCTTGCCAGAGGAGGGGAAGGAGGAGGAGGGCAGGAGGGAACTGAAATGCAACCTATTCACGTTCCCGCGATGTAACACCCCTCATTTTCCATGCTGGGTAAAGACAATAAACCCTTTACAACCTGTTTCTGGAACTTGTCAGCAGCTGCCAAGAGGAGCATGTTAATTAAACGTCGGCAAAGATGGAAGCCGGAGGCCCCGGCTCTAATTGGACAGTTTGCTTCACCGGATTGAAAAACATTGTGACAAAGGAGGAGGCGCGGCGCTCGGCAGGGGTGCGGCGTGGCGGGGAGGGGAGCGGCGGCTTTGATTTCAGCTGATCAGTGCCCCAGCCTTCCTCCCGGCGGAGCCGGCCCCGCCCAGCCGGCACGCCCACGCAGGGCCTGGGAGGGGCTTGTCGGCGCGGGGAGAGGGGCAGGGTGCCGAAGGTCCTCAGAAGCCTGCACGCCGCAGACCCCGCCCGCAGTCCGGCTAACGATGTAGGCCCCACCGAGGAGCAGGCTTTGAGGGCTCTGGGGAGGGGCCCCTTCGCCGGATTACATGACCTGGGTCCTGGGGCCTGTGCCGGGAGGGCACCGAGGGCGGGGGTCCGGCAGTCGCCTCAGGGCAATGTCGAGGCTGCACTGGGAGCCCAGGCCCAGGCCCTGGGAGGGAGAGACCTGGGTCTGGATCCCTGTCGCCCAAACTAGTTCTAGGTCACATGATCAGGGATGAGGTCTTAAAAACGTTGAAAACTGGTAGGCTTGTCCTGGAAAACCCAGCGTAGAGATCCTCAGGGAGCCCTATAGAGCCTGGAGGTTCCAGCAGGGCTGCAGGGACACGCCCAGAGACTTCTCCAGCTGTGTTTTTAATGGCTGAATCCCAAGTCACCTCCTGTTCCTGACTCACAGATGATGATGGCAGCCATGTACTGAGTGCCAACTCTGTGTGGGCACCATGCTGAGTGCCCCACGTGCCCCGTGTTATCCTCCCAGCACCCCTGAGAGAGAGCGACTGTATCATGCCCGTCTCACAGATGGGGAGACTGAGGCCCACAGAGGCTAAGTAATCCACCAAGGTCACAGTGATATTAAAGGCGGTGCTAGGGCCGGCCCTGTAGCTTGACGGTTAAGTGCGCGCGCTCCGCTGCTCGCGGCCGGGGTTCGGACCCCTGGCGCGCACCGACGTACTGCTTCTCAGGCCAGGCTGAGGCCGCGTCCCACATATAGCATACAGCAACTAGAAGGATGTGCAACTATGACATACAACTATCTACTGGGGCTTTGGGGAGAAAAAAGGAGGAGGGTTGGCAACAGAGGTTAGCTCAGGGCCAGTCTTCCTCAGCAAAAAGAGGAGGATTAGCGTGGATGTTAGCTCAGGGCTGGTCTTCCTCACAAAAAAAATAAATAAATAAATAAATAAATAAAGGCCGTGCTAGGGTGAGACGGAAGCCCAGGGCTCTGATTCCAATGTCTGAACCTGGGTTCCATGGTCCCTGCTCTCTGGCTCCTGGCCCATCCAGGAGATGAAGGTCTTCAGGATGGTCTGAGAAAAGAGTGGGGTTCCTAAGTGGAGAACACCCTTCCCCTGGCCTCCAGGCTGAGGGGCCTGAAGGATAGGGGTGCAGCAGGCTGGGGGTCCCTCTGGAGGGCTCATCGCGTGTCTCCCACCCCCACACACATGCCCAACTAGCACCTCCTAGGGTGAGGTGGTTAGTAACAAGGCCAGAGCCTCCTCTTCTGTCCCCTTCTGCCTTGGCCCCAGCTTTGCCCCCTACCGCATCCTCATCCTGAACTGCTGCCCAGGAGGTCTCCCTTTGGGGTGGGAGGCCAGGCTGGGGCCTGTGAGAGCCAGGAGCGAGTATGGGAAAAGGAGCCATTGTGGCTGAGCCTGGGGATTAGGAGCTACAAAGTGGAGTGGAGGGCCGAGGCCATTGATGGCAGCCCTGCAAGCCGAGTGCCCGGGGGGCGGCCTGACCAGCCTGTGCCTGAGCTGTGTCCAGGCTGCCTGCTGGGCCTAATCCCCTGGAAGCTGCAGCCCGAGGAGCCCCGGAAATAAATACAGCTGCCGTGGAGAGAGGGCTGCCCTCGGTGGGGTCGGGCAGCCTGGTCCCGGATGCTCAGGGTGGCCACTCTGAGGAGGGATGGGTGGTGTGAGTGTACACGTGTGCCCCTGGCCTGGGCAGTGTGTCTGTGTGCGACACTCTAAAGATTGGTGGTGCAGTGTGTTAGGGGCAGCATCAGTCCCTCGTGTGTGTCTGAAGTTTAGGGCCTACCTTGAGGGGAATGGGGCCTGAGGGCAGCAACTGAGATGGCTCAGAGGTGCCTGACTGAGGAAGCGAGGCCTGGCGAGGAGAGGCAGAGCCCCGCCAGCAGGCCCAAGTGGATGCTAAGAGTGTGTGTGTGTGTGTGTGTGTGTGTGTGTGTGTGTGCACGCACCAGCACCATCGAGCAGGGTGCTTGAGAACGGCCCTTCAGAGGCGGCTGGAGGGGCTCTGCAAATTGTAATCAGATTAAGGGGACCAATCACTTAGGGCTCTTGAAAAGGCCACAAGGTTTCTAATCAGTGGTGAGCCGGCCCACAAAGCCAGGAGGAGCTCTGTGGGAGCCGCCTGCTGGGGGGCCTGGGGGTGGGGGCGGCTGTCTTCCCTCTCTGTCTCTGTAATTATGTCAATTTGCTAGCCAAATTGTTTGCTCAAGTGGACAGGGGGACTTGTGCCCCATTCATGTGGTAATGTGGGAACCAGCAGGCCTCCTGGCTGGGAAAACAGGAGGTACTGGGACCCCTCTCAAGGGAGCAGGCAGCCCCCCGGGTGCGGGGCACCCAGGCTTTGGGAATCCTCCCCCACCAGTGTGGGGGTTTTTTCCATGAATTCCAGAAACTTCCAGCTTGCGTTCTGCTCTGGGATGTCCTTTTCAGCCTGTCAGGGTGAAGGGTGGGGAAGGCGGAAGGGTCCCAGAGAGGACAGAAGAGGGGGCCTCCAGGTTCCCTCAGGGTGAAGGTGGGCGGCTCTGTCCCCACGCCTGGTCTCTCGTGGGCCAGGCTGAGGCTTGAGCGGTTGGGAGCAGCGTGGGACCTGGGAGGTACCAGAGAGACAGGGTCCTGAAGGTGTAGTCACCGCATGCACAGACCCAGGGATGTGCAGAGACTCGAGGAAGTTCTCACCGCTTTCCTGGGTCTCTGTGCAGGCGCCAGCCACCGGGCCACTGCCTCGTATACATCGGTTCATTGAACCCAACAGCCAGCCAGGGAGGCAGGCACCGGGCTCCCCATTTCACAGACGAAGAAACTGAGGTTCAGAGAAGCTACGTGACTTGCCCAAGGCCACACAGCCAGTACGTGAGGAACAGAAATTTGAAGCCGGCTCTGTCTGATCCCTCAACCCCTCTGCCCCGCCATGGGCCTTCATTCCTTCCTTCAGGTAGCGAATGGGAGCGGATAGTCTCCCTGGTTCCGTGTGAGGCATGGAGGATGCGGAGGACTAAGAGTGACCAGGGAGGGCACGGTCCTGTGACCCTTAGCGCTGGCACCCTGGTGAGTGCTGCGGTCACTCAGCACAGAGCTGTGGGCACACAGAGGGTCAGGCATCGGACGCGCTGCTCAGGAGCCGGGGCGGCCGTCAGTCCAGATGTAGATAACTGCCCTGCGCAGGGCCTGCACTGGCCGCATTCCCCTGCCCTCGGGGCTGCCTCACCTCCCTAGGCCCCCCTTCAGCGCCTGAGGACCCCTCCCATCTCCCTTGGGTGTGGCACCCCAACACCTCTGTCTCTCAGATTATGGGGTCCTCTCCACCTTGGCCACTCCC